CGTTCGTCGTCGTCGTGTGTGTGTGTGTGTGTGTGTGTGTGTGTGTGTGTGTGTGTGTGTGTGTGTGTGTGTGTGTGTGTGTGTGTGACGCTATTATGTTTGCATCATGTGACATGATGCAAACAGGCAGACAAGGCTGCCACGTTCCTTCCTTCCTTCCTTTCGCTTTCTCTTGGCATCTAGCTCCCTCACTCCTCACACCTCTTCGTCCATTCACTACCAAACGACTGCGATGTGCAGGATTCTCGCTGGGCGTGAAGCTGTGGCGCGTCGTGTCAGATCACGGCTCATTCCTGCACGTGAGTAACCCCCCCCCCACCGTACACTGCATGTATGCATGCAACCATCAAGTGTGTCGATGGTTTCAGCGTTGCTTGTCTTTTGGCATGTGAGGGACCACCTCCGACCAGCCATTGCACAAACCCACCACCACCAGCCACCATCACATCATCAACTCGCCATCATCAACAACGCAACGAACACAACCACTGTCACGTCATCTTCTCACCATCACCACCTCATCCCATCCCCCCCTCCTCTCTCTTTCTCTCCAGTCCCACCGCTGCGGGCGCCTGCCCGGCCACTCTGCACCGACGGCGCACTTTGCATTCAGCCGCGACTCGGCACTCGCCGCTTCCGTCGCCAGGGATGGCACGTGGAAGTGCTTCAACATCAAGTTAGCTGCCCACACGGCTCTCTGCCCTGTGTGTGTGTGTGTGTGTGTGTGTGTGTGTGTGTGTGTGTGTGTGTGTGTGTGTGTGTGTGTGTGTGTGTGTGTTTGCTTGGTTTTCTTTGCTCGGACCTCAACCACGCACGCATTCACCACAACCTCCACTACCGTCATCAACCCCCTCCCTCTCCTCTCCCACGCTTCCACCGACCCCCTGTTTAGTGTACGCTGGGATCTCGATGAAGACCCGCGACTGCTGAGCGAAAACACATACGCGCAGCCGTCGTCCGCCCCTCGCATCGCCATCAGCAGCTCAAACTACACCCTCTGTACGCGCAGACACACGCACGCACACTCCATCGTGGTGGTGGTGGTGGTGGTGGTGGTGTTCATTGATTTGCTTGTGGAGTGGTGGTGGTGGTGGCGGTGTGAGGTCTGTGATTCCATGAGGACAGTGTTGTCTCTGCTCGTGTTGTCATTTGATCAACTGCTCCTGCCATGTGTTCATCTTCCTCCTCCTCACAGCGGTGGAGTATTTCTTGTTTGCTTCTGCCACAACGACCACCGCTCATGTGTGTGTGTGTGTGTGTGTGCAGGCGTTGGCTCGAAGCAGACCATTGAGATGTTCTCTGTTCACTCTGGCGAGCGCCTTTACGCAATCACAGACGCGCACGCACCAGGTGATGGTGGCACGACTATGACAGGACAAGGGGTTGATGCTCATTTGCTGTATTGTTCGTTTTGCATTCCATACGATGCACTTTGCATCTTCACTCTTTTTCGTCTCCCTTGCTGGTCGTTCCCTCACTGGTCTGCCGTCTACACTGCCAATGTTGCACGCATCGTTCATCACAGCTTTAACCCCTCATCAGCACCTTCCCCTCCCTCCCTCCCTTGTCTCCTCACCACGTCCCCTCTCCCTCGTCCTCCTCTTGTGTGTGCCTGCAGGCATGGACTTGACGCACCTCTGTTACGACATGGACGATGAGTTTATCATCTCCACCGCATACACGCGCGTGCATGTGTGGCGCAACCTTCCGCAAAAGCGCGAGATGGTGCGGCGGCTATGGTCGCATGCTTGTCCTGGTGCCTGCAAGCACGCACATTCTCACGCACACGCGCGCGCACTCACACATCCCCACCGCACCCCTCCCCCTTTCATTCTTGTGCTGTTTTACAGATTGCACGACTGACTGAGAAGGTCCGAACAGAGAGGAACCAGTCGGGCAAGGTGTGGTGCCCCACGTGAACATGCATGCACCTGTTCACAACAGGGGGAAATGTGTCGCGTGAGGTTGCTGTGCAAGGCCTGCATCATCAACGCTCACCCGACACACACACACACACACGCGCACACATGGACGCAGGACCGCATCAAGGCGCAAGTTGCGGAGTTGCAGAAGAATTTGAAGGCGTATGGGTGGTGATGCTGATGTTGTGTTCTCCCACATGTGCACACACGCGGTTGTGCACCGCACTCCCTCACTTGTGCCGACTCAGCCGCTCGTTTGTTGGAAGTCATGTCAACTGGCGAAAGGATGAGTGAATGGGTTTTACTGCCAAATCAAATACGAACACGCTGTGCACGAGCACGCGTGATGGGGAAAGGGCAGTGAAGATGTGGGCAAGGCAATCAATGAGTGAACGAACACACGGGCGGGAACCAGCCCGCACCAGAAACGACACAATACACACACGCACACACACATGTGGGTGGAAAATGAGGCGATTAAGCAAGAGTATGCAACAAGCTGCACTGCTGCAAGAATAAAAGCAAGGTGCACATCGCAGCATGCACATTAGAACAGATGAGAACAGGTGGGGACGGTGATGGGAAAGGGGGGCGTTTGTCCCTGACTTGTGGGTGGGCCAGGATATGGGGGGAAAGCAAGGCAGTACATGGTGTCTTTCTGTTGCTGTTACCGCCGCAGGGGCTGTAACACATGTGTTGTGTTGGAGGAAGCAGTGATGGCATGATGGCAGGAATGATGCAACCAAGCACACTGGTCATCGTCATCATCATCGTCATCATCATCGTCATCATCATCATCATCATCATCAGTGGTCTGCTGTGGCATCCTCGTCGTCCGTCTCGAGCGACGATGAAAGCCAGTCCTGGAACGGCAGCAGCTGTTGCCTCAGCGCAGCAAACGCCGTCTGCGGGATATCTGTCAAGGGTTGCTGTCGCTTGATCCAGTTTAGCACAACCTCGCCCTACATGTACGTGTATGATGAGTGTGTTGTGCATGAGTGTGTGTTGTGTTGTGTGTGTTGTGGTGTGTGTTGTGTGTGTGTGTGTGTGTGTGTGTGTGTGTGTGTGTTGTGTATGTGTGTGTGTTGTGCATGATTGTGTGTGTGGGGGGGGATGGGAGAAAAGAAGGGGGAATTGAGAAGAAGGAGGAATTGTGCGTGCGAGGAAGTGAACGGTGGACTGTGGTGGATGGGATGGATGGTAATGGGGAGGGGCGAGCGCCAATGCCAAACACACATCCAAGGAACTGCAGCCGAATACAAGATAAATACACACGCATCATCGGACACATACACGCACAGACACGCGATCAACAGACTTGTACACACAAACACAACAGCACAACCACAAACAGCCAACCAATGACACATACACAGCACCAGCAGCATCAGCAGCACACCTCCAGGCCGCCTGCTTGCAGCTGTGTATAGAGCAGCTGGGTGAGACACTGCGCCTTGTCGCCGGAGAAGGATTCGCGGGCATACAGGCGCTCCAGGCACGCGAGGAAATTGCGTTGGCCGCGCAGGAACATGGACCCGTTGCGCTTCTGGTTGCGCTCGTCCAAGGTGATGAGGCGCGTCAGCAGCGGCGACAGCAGCACCAGCCGCTCTGTGTGGTCGCGTGACGCGTAGCACAGCGAGCGCACGCACTTGTTGTTGGTGGACCCCTTTACGCGCCTGTGCTCCAGGATGATGCCCACCAACTCCTGTATCGCAGCCTCGTTGAAGTCCTCTGCGGTATATCCGTTGTGTTGGCACGCGCACGCGTAAGAAAGTTGCAAGAGTGAGAAGGTACAGAAGGGAGGGACCATGCATACCCAGGCATGCCAGTATACCGTGGCAGTGCAACGCAAAGGAAAGGAAAGGAAAGGGAAGGGTGCCACGACCAGCAAGCTCACCACGACCAGCAAGCTCACCACGACCAGCAAGGACGCCGAGCAGATGCACACACCGCACAACACAACAGGACACAACACAACAACAACAACAACAACAACAACGTGACACAACACAACAACACCAACAACACACCTTTTGAGACGACGTTGTTCAAGATGCTGCTGAGGCGGTCGGTGGCAGACGTGTCGTCACTCAGGCGGCGAATCGCCTCAGACATTTCACTCACGTTCATGGTCATCTTTGAGTGTCCGGTCGTTGACATGAAGAGGGGTGTCTGCTGTAAATGAACAAGCGTGACGGTGTGATGTATGATGAGCGAAGATGCGTGTTGTTGTTGTTGTTATTTTGGATGTGAGACAAGTGTGAGTGTCTCGCGTCAACTCGCGCGCAGGCAGCGTGAGCAGCAGTGTGAAGTGGCAGTACCTCTGTTATCTGCGTTGGTGAGCTTGGTTGGCGTTGTCAAAGAAGAGCAGGCAGCTGGCCAGGTCGAGCGGCAAGCACAGGAAGGAAATGCGCAGCCACTCCTCCTCCTGTCTTTTGTTGGGAACGATGTGCGTAAGCGCGAGATTGCGTTGGGGTCGAACGCGTTCCACTATATTTTCGTATGTCGCATCCAAGGGAAAATGCGTGGAATTCCGCCACAACGCATGTCAGTGTGTCGCAACACCACAAACAGTGGTGTCCTTGAGTGGTCCTCCAACGGTTGTGCTTGTCGTGCCAACTCAGTCAGTGTCCTGGTTGGTTGCTTGTTCCCTTCGCTTGTTCAGTTGTTCGCTTCGCTTTGCTTCGCACGGGCGAATATGAGCGCCGTTTTGTTTACATGCGATGTGAATCCGTTGCTTCTCCTCTTCTCCCTCGCTGCGATTTAACGATTCGAGCCGTGTCGTGTCCAAGTTCAGAAGATGTTCGAAGGTCGTTTTACTTTCACATGCGAAGATGGAAGTGCTGCAGAAGTGGCTGGGAATCAAGCCGGCCGTCGTCATCATGTCACTGTTAACCGCATGCCTAACACACATACACGCACATACAAACACGCACACACATATGCACATGCACACTGCGACCCTGCGCACACACGCCAACTGCTAGTCCTCTTGGTGGGTGATACAGCAGTGCTGGGGCAACGTAATGTCCCTTGTTGCCTGTCGCGAGCGCTTGCTTCGCTGCTGCTGTCGCTGTTGCGAACTGCCGTCGTCATCGTCGTCATCGCTGGCATCGTCTTCACGCTGCTGCTGGCCTTGTTGTTTGCCCCGGCCATGGCTGCTACTGTCCGTCTCATCAGCTGACGAGTCCTGTTTGTTGCAGCAACACAACAAATGCAGGAAGAAGGTGAGGACTGGCAGTAGGTGGTCGAACAGTGGACGAGAGATCTCACGACGTCATCAGAAGACCCGAGAAGGGAGGGGGGGGGTAGTTGGGACTGAAATGTTCACATGTGCAACACATATGCAACACATGCACACGCACACACTCATCCCTTCCTCCTCCTCTTCCATTGATTTCAATCGCTCCTCCCATCCCTCCTGGCTGTCGTCACAATGTTCTCACCGCAGCTTAGCACCACTACCACCACCACTGCTGCTGCTGCTGCTCCTCCTCCTCTTTCCCTTTCTCTCCGCCCACTGGAGCACGAGTGGCAATTCGCCTTACATAACGACGAACCTGCTCTTGTTCTTGCTGCTGCGAGCGCTTGCGCCGCTCCATATACTCAGTGATGTCCACGCCCTTGTCGTACGCTGCACGCAGCTCATCGTCCATCAGCACCTCGTACGCCTGATGCAGCGGGGTGGTGGGGAGGACGAGTGTGTTGGTGGTGATTTGCAATCAGTGCAGTGCATGCGTCCGACACGTATGTGTGTGTGCGCGCGCGCAAGATCTCGTGATATGCGCAGGCTACATTTGAAAGCGTACGCAAGAATGCGTGCAAGCACACACGCAGGCACACACACACACGCGCGCGCACACACAAACACATTCAAGCACGTCCGAATGCGTACAAGCACACACACACACACATACAAACACACACACACACCTCGACAATGTCGAGGAACTTCTGTTCTGCGTCTGGGTGTTTGTTCTTGTCTGGATGCCAAACGCGCACGAGGCGGCGATACGCCCGTCGAATCACTGCCGTGCTCGCACCCCTTTTGCGTGTTGGAAGAAAGGAAGAGTTGATGGAGCGTACAGACAGAGCCGATGAGAGGGGAACATGAGAAGCGGAGGTGGAAGAGGTGAGGGTGTGACTGGGAGTGTGTTGCACTTGCGTGGGGATGCCAGGCGGAACGTCAGAAACGAAAGAACTGTCTCTTGTGCGCTCATGCATACAACATACGCACACACGCACACACTTAGACACACACACACGCGCAACGCACTTGGGCACGCCGAGGATGCTGTAGTAGTCCTTGGTGGTGGCCTCCTTGACAGCAAGTTCAATCTTGCGCTGGAGCACCAGAAGTTTCATGTCGTGTGGCGAAATGCGGCGCGCACGTTTCACGTCGCGAAGCGCGTTTGAAAACATCTGCAGGGACAGTGATGACGGAAAACAGCAACAGAGCAACGACAATGGTGGTGGTGGTTTTGGTGGTGGTGATGGTGGTGATGGCAACAGCATGAGAACACAAATTCACGTGTTAACCACGTTGAGGGAGAATGACTGGAAGAACCCATTGCTTGTGCTATGCATATGCACACAAACGAACACGTGCACGCAACCATACCTCCTTTGTGAGGAAGGCCCACGCTCGATACATGAGCAAATGAACCACAAACTGGCTGTTCTCCTGCAGGCGAACGTCTTCCAACGCGCGGGTGCAACTGCACACAGACACATTTGGACAGTGGGTGACACATTACAGTGAGTGCGAGGGTTTGGGACACAACTCAACGCTGGGAGCACACTTGCAGGCACATTCAATCATGTTGCCCCAGTTTCCGGGGTGCTTGTTCGTAACACATTATCTATCACGATGTTGCACCATGCCATGCCACGGCAACCAAACCTGTGGAGGGCAGCGTCAATTCTGTTGACGAAGAAGTGCAGTTCGCACAACTCCTGCAGCGCCGTCAGTGCCATCTCGCTGTGCGCATCCAATGCGAGCTGTGGAAACCAGAAGGACATAAGGCAACAGGGTGTCGGTGGGTGAACTGATCTCACGCACGCACACGCGCAAACACACACACACACATACACACACAGTCACACACAGTCACACACAGTCACACAAACACAAGACACGCAAACACACAAACAGACACACAAACAGACGCACACAGACACACAACGCATGAAAGCAAGCACATGCACACCAGAGTATCAAATGCATGAATGGCACGCAAAAACTCCCGCTGGTCCTTAAACTGTTTGGCCTCCGCCGCCAGCGACAGCACACGTCGCATCATCTGTTCCTCACGCTTGCACAGCTGTCGGGCACCCGCATCGGGCCTTGATCGATGCCAAAGGCACGCCAGTAGCAGCAAGCAGCAGAAGTGAAGCAAATGTAGTTGTGTGCATGGGTGAGTGGTAGTCCAAAACCAACCACACACACACACACACGCACACACGCACACACACACGCACACACACACGCACACACACACAACCGCAATTTGCAGAAGTAGGGCAAACTCCCGTTCCACGGCGAGAAATACACACGTGGAAATTCTGATGCACTTGGCAAGGACGGTCGCCGCCACCTCTGTGTTGCCGAGCAAACGCCAGTGAATGGCGCCATGTAGTCGAAGCGTTCTGGCATCCGCTTTGTCAAGGCGCACCAGCATGCTCGCATCCGCCAACGCCGCGCTGGCGTTGCCTGCAAGCAATGAAATTGGAGGGGGGAGGTGTGACAATGTGAGCGCGTGTGTGAAGGACAATGACAGGTTAGCAACTGTAAACACCAAAGGTGTGGACAATCAAGCGACCGCAAAACAAACCAAACATGCACACACACGACACACACACACACACGACACGCACACGACACACACACGACACATACACGACACGCACACGACACACACATACACACGATACACACACGACACATACACGACACGCACACGACATACACATACACACGACACACAGTCTTGTGTTCCTCCGTGTACCATGTCTGAGATGGCACTCGGCGCGCCACCGTCGATATGTAGCGCTGGCTGGGGCATCGACCAACACTGCTGACAGCGCGGTGATGGTGGCTGGTGAGCACATGTCCGTTGCTGACTCATCCACGTCGCCAGACGATGAGAGCATATCAGTGAGCGTCTGTAATACTTCGAGGCCACGCGACGCCCGCGCTTCCAGTGCGCTCACTTGCGCATGTGTTGTTCTCGATGGCGTTTCTCCCCACAGCGCCAACAGCTGACGCAGCTCATTGCTTGCAAGCAAAGCCTCTTGGAATCGGCCCACCTTGCCCAGCACGTCAAGCAAGAGAAGATTCAGTGTCAGCTGCACTTGTTGCACAATTGCAACCGCCTTTGCACTCTGCTGCTGTGGTTGTTGTTGGTACTGTGGTTGCGCGTTTGCCATGAGAGCTGCGACTGGGTTGCGCTCCAAGCTGAGGAGCATATATCGCAGCAAGGCCACGGCACCGTCAAACTCATACGCGCGCAGCAGCGCGTGCACATGTGCGAGCTGGCGTGTCACATCTCTGCTCAGCACGTGTGCTTGCTTCTCCTCCTCCAGCAAGCGACCAACACTTAACGCAATCAGCCTGTCCTCGAAAGATACATCGTCGATATGCGCTTGTCCGCTACTGCCACCTCGGCTGCCATTGCTGTTGTCGCCATCGCTGCTGCTGCTGCTGCTGCTGCTGCTCTCATCGCTGTTGCTGCGATGCTGGCCAGAGCGATACACATACCCGCAGACCAACACAGCAGCGTCGTCAGCGCTGTCGCCACCATCAATGTTGTCGGCGTTGCTCGAGACTCGATCCATCTCAACTTCATCGGTACCATCAGGAGCATCATCATCATCTGGGTTCCCGTCCTCCATGACGTCAATGCTGAACTTGAAGGAGCAACCAACAGCATCCGCGTTGCTTGCATGCATGGATACAGCAAACGATGATGATGACGACGACAGCGGTGGTGCCGCTGCCTTTGCACCACCATCCTCGATTCTGCACGACAAAGCGTCGAGCACCGTGGGAACGCAGATGGAGGTGCCAGCGTCCGTGTGCTCATCATCAGCTGAAGCGCGCTTCGGTGGTCCGCCCGCGTTGTGTTTGTCGCTGCTACCACACTCACCATCATCATCCACGGTGTACACACCACGAGGAGCCGTGGTGAGTATGCAGTCATATCGCCGCGTCGCGTCAAGGAGAGAATGCACCGGCTGTCCGCACGAAACCTGTGGATTTGCAGGTGACAAGTGTTGGCGAGGTTTAAGATGAGTGGGGATCAGAAAGCATCTAACACGACAGGGACATTAACGGCCAAGATGTGAAGAATGGGGGAATAAGGAAAGCTGATGCTCCTGTGAAACTTCGCACACACACACATACACACGCACACGCACGCACACATGAACATACACACAGACACGCACACACATACGCACAACACACGCACACACATACACACAACACACACACCCTGTATAACAGAGCACGTGTGCGGTTATACCTGCACGTCTGTGGAAGACCAGCGCGGAAAGACTGCAATGACAGGTGTGTTGAGCACATCCAATTCATGGTCGTCACCCTCATCACCACCCTCTTCTCCTTCCCCACCATCACCACCACTCTGCCGCTGAGGGAGGAGCGGTGTCACGACGACTGCGGTGAACAGGCGCTCGTGGCCAGAGGTGGAATGGTTGGCCGTCACCTCAAAGTGAATGTCGCGTTCGCTGAGTGCATCGATTTCATCACTGCTGTTGCTGCTGTTGTCGTCGTGGCTGGCGCCCGTGCCCAGATTGACAGCGGGTGGCGGCAGCATGCGCAGTGACACGTGCGTGATGGCATCGAGGTCTGGCTGCAGCTGGAAATCGGATCCGCTCGCCGCTGTTGGCAACCCGGCATGGCGCGGCCGAATGATGCAATGCAAGGGCGACCCGGCCACCGCAGTGTTGCTGCAATATGTGTGCATGTGTGGGGGGGGGGGTGCGTGTGTGCGCGTGTGCGTGTGTACATGTGCACATGTGTGTGTGTGCGTGTGTGTACATGTGTGTGCGTGCATGTGTGTGCGTGCATGTGTGTGCGTGAGTGGGGTGGTGTGTGTATGTATGTGTGGTGTCATGACGTGCAAGAGCACAACGTCGCGAGATAGACATTTGCAGCTTCACCATTACCACGCACCTGTCGCAGACGATAACGCTGGTAAAATCGGGTGGTCCATACTGGCAAAATTCCCCCTTCCAGCCCTTGTGACATGTGCACACGTTCGCGCCAATGCACCGCCCGTGCTTGTTGCAGTCATTCTCACAGGCAAATCCGACCTGAGAGTGTGTATGAGTGGGCGTCAGCGAGTGAGTGAGTGTGCGCGCATGTTTGTGTCCATATGTGTGAGCACAGTAAGTAGCTGCATACGCTCGTGTGATTTCTGCTGAGCTAGCGGGCAGAAGCACACGCGCACACACGAACAAACAGGCGAAGAAGAATGTCATACGCACAGACGAATGTCACAAGTCACAAACACAAACTCACGTACCAGGAACGAGGCTGGCCTCTGCTTCTCGAGCTCAAACACGTGTGACGTGTCTGTGGTGTTGTTGTCAATGGCAGTGATAAGCCGGCTGTCCTTGTTCAGCAGCTTCACCCGGTAGCCTGCAAGCATAAGCAACGGTGAAGGCAAACATGAAAAACAGAACACACCACGCACGTGCGCCTATACACGCACTCTCATGTGCACACGCACACAGAGTCATACACACCCGCACACGCACACGCACACGCACACGCACATGTACACGCACACGCACAAGCACACGCACACGCACACGCACACGCACACGCACACGTACCTGGGCGAGCGATAAAGATGGAGCCCAGGCCTTCAGCGGGCACATCGTACAGCCCGAGTGTGTAGTACTGGCAGTGCCCGTGGTAGAGCGGTCGTGGGCAGAACACGACACCGCGGAGTTGGGACCATGGCATCCATGTTATGCTCGCGTGCGTAAACTCGGATGGCTCAAGGCCACCACGTACATCTCGCACAAGCAGTCGACCGCCAGCTACAGTGGTGGTGTGTAAGTAAGTGCGCGCGTGTGTGTATGTGTGTGTGTGTATGTGTGTGTGTGTGTGGATGTGTGTGTGTGTGTGTGTGTGTGTGTGTGTGTGTGTGGATGTGAGGGGTCGGAAGACATTTATTCACTTGTGATATTTCCACTTTTACCCTCCACAAACACAGTGCATACATGCACACACACACGCACACGCACACACACACACACACACACACCTTGCCTGTCGCCATGGTGCAGGAATACACGGCTGCCTGCGGGGATGCGAAGAGACGCAATTGTGTCTGATGTGGAGGGATCCTCATGAAACTGTGCAGCCGTGACAACACGTCAGGATGTGAGGCACAATTAACAGCGAGTGGCAAGCAGTCACCACTGGGATTCATACGAACAACGACGCGCGTACACTTACCCCAACACAAACTCAACACACACGCCCACTCATACGCACATGCTCTCGAGTGCAGGATGGAGGTTCTAGTGTAACTCACATGAAACAAGGAGGCAATGGGTGTTTGGTAGATGTTTGGAGCAGCGATGGTTGGCAGCTTGATCTCCCGTCCTTGAAAGTCTTCCTCGGAAAACGCAGACACGGAGGACGGCGCACTCTTGCTTGGCAGGTGCACGGAGGGCTGCAGCGCCAGTGCTTGCAGGCATTGCACCTGTCGTGAAAGCAAAAAAAGGAGAGGGGATGAGGACACCAAACACAGCAAACACACGCACACGCACGCGCACACACGCACGCACGCACACAGATATGAGGTGCTAAGTCGTTGGAACCTCAAACATCATTTGAACAGGAAGAGCAAAACCATCAACCACCACGATCCAGCTTGCGTGCATCACCACCCCCAATCAATTGCTGCACCTGTGCGCCGTTTGTGAATGTTGACGCGTTGTTGGTTGAGCCAGCAAGGTCTGCAAGCACTTCATCGCACTTCCAGCCACCGTACAACACAGCCTGTGCAGTCACCAAGGCGAGTGCATGGGGGTGGTATTGGGTTAATAGTTGAGCAGCACAGGTGGACAAACAGCACCAGCAGCACCAGCAGCACCAGCAGTGGCCAAAGCATATTTCTTCACAAATGACACATACACACGCACACACAAAATACACACACAAACAACAAACATGACGTACGTGATAGCCTGGCTTGAGGAGGATGGAGTGCACTGGCTGTCGGAGGCGATGCTTGCCGCAACACGAGAAGCCACTTGATCTGCCTCTCCACTCGCTGTCTGCAAACACGCGCAGCACATCCTTGTTGTGTGTGTGTGTGTGCGTGTGTGCGTGTGTGCGTGCGTGGGTGGGTGGGTGTGCAAGTACATGCTTTCAATGTGAATATATGGCGGAATGAAGGGCGATGCGTGGGTGTGACAAGCAGTCGTGATGTATGATCCATACGTGTCACCCGTCAAGCCTCCAACAGCGATGCAAGTGCTGTGGGGCCAGACCTGGCGTTGTGACGACGATGCACTTGTGTGCGTTGACGAACGGCGCTGTCGTTTGTGTTCTTGCCCCTGCTGCTGTTGTCGTTGTTTCAGTTTTGCGCGTAGCTCTTCCACGCGTTCAATGTGTGCAGCTTCTGTGAAACGCCGAGCAGCACAACGGCCCATGGTTGGTTCATGCAGTGTCACCAATATTGTGTGTGTGTGTGTGTGTGTGTATGTGGAGTCACAGTCGATTCAACTGTGTGCATGATGTGGCTTCACCTTTGCTTGTTGCTGCTCGTGTCTGCGATGAAGAAGGTGCATCCACAACGGATGGCTTGACGCGTGCCTCTGCCGGCTGCGCCAACAGCGCCAACATGTCGCCATGAAACACCTGTAAATATCAGGCCAAAGTACGCGACCGCGTGTCGGTGGTTGTGCTTGTGCGTGAGTGCACATGAGTGTGAAAGCAAATTTACACGTGTACGTGTGAGAGGCTGCTGTCGAATGCACAGCACCACACGTGCAACAAGGCGGCACATGCTGACCTGAAAAGCGGAATCTTGACAGGGTGCCAGCCTCAGCGCTGTGCTGAGGGTGGCTCGCATATTTCCGTCCAGACACAAGTGCGGATACTGGAGCGACTGGATGGCATAGCCTTTCACCATCCCACCGCCTGCATACACACATTCACCAGCAAACATACGCCACAACAACAAACATGCATGCACACAGTGCCAGTGTGCAAGAAACAAGGTGTTGTGTCACTGAACGCGCATCCGTAGCCTAATGGCGCAAAGCCCAGATCAGGCAGTCGCATCAAACTGTCTTACGTTCGGCAAACGATGTCTTGAAGATGTAGAAGCGCTGCAGAGCGGAAGATGAGCATGGTGCAAGATGAACAGATGCGGTTTCTTCCAAACTGTCCACTGATGCCCACACGCACACACACACACACGCACAGAAAGGCTGGGGTGAGGGTAGAGACGATCATGATCGTTCTTGGTCAGACGGTGCAGGGTATTAGGTGTAGCCATGCAGCCATATGTTTGCGTGCATGCGTGGCGTGTCACAGCACCACACCTGCTGCGTCGATGGCGACACACGAAGGCGAGTCTTCCAGCCGCAAGACGATCGCGTTGATGTCTTCTGGTTGGGGCTGCAGTGCCCACCACTGATCTGCACTGTCCACGTGACAAGGATGCAGCTGCACTCCGCCTGCCGTGCAGCGGTGCGTACACCAGGGACACAGAGGTAAGGAGATAGGTTGCACCATGAGCAGCACTTTGGGCTGCTTTGCATCACACATGGGCATGTGTATCTGCAGAGAGTCCATGCACAAGCATGCACAAGCATGCGCACGCACGCACGCAGGCATAGCAGACACGCAAGCACACATGCACACGCAAGCACACAAGCAAGCACACACGCATGCACACAAGCTTGCACACAAGCAAGCACGCATATGCACACACACGCCACATCAGTCCTCACCGTGATGGGTTGCTTGCAAGCAAGCCCGCATGCCGCCGTGCAACCGTAGCTGCGTTGCTGGAACCCCAAACCCGTCATCCTGTTGCCGAGGCCGCCGGGCGCGCTGATGCGGGTGCGCTGCGGTTGTTGCACCGCTGCTGCTTCCACAACCCGTTGATGCCACCACAACTGCCAGCACCACCAGCCACACAACGATGTGCGCCATTGTCGTCTTGCACACAATTCGAACCGTTGCGCCAAAATATTTATGCTGTCGCGCTGTCCTTCTTCAACGGAGCCGCTGTTCGCGGTCAACAGTGATGGTTGTGGTGTTCGTGCTTGCGCTTGTGGTGATGGTGGTGGTGGGGCTGATGGTGGAGGACGTGGATGGTGTGCCGTTAAGCCTGAGCCAGAACAACCAGCTTGTCTTTGTGATTGGCGTCCAATATGAGTGAGTCCGAGTTCCTTGCCTGCATGCAACAGAGAGAGAGAGAGAGAGAGAGAGAGAGAGAGAGACAGATAGAGCGTGTGTGTGTGTGTATGTGTGTGTGTGTGTGTGTGCGTGTGTGTGTGTGTGTCGGTTGCAACAGGAACTGCACCGCGTTCATGATGCTGCTGCTTCCAGTCGCCACACTTACCAACTTGACTCACCACACCACCAACCTTCAAACCCCAACTGGACAGGGCCATCATGCATGTTATGGACATCCTCGGCCAGCACCCAGAAGTGTCTCTTCTGTCAGGTGTGTGCGTGTGCATGCGCTTGTGTGCATGTGCTTGTGTGTGTGTGTGTGTGTGTGTGTGTGTGTGTGTGTGTGTGCCCATAACCGTGCTCTCCTCCAACTCAACCAGTTTGACCTTGCTCGGGTACAGGCACTGGGAAGCCAAAGAACGATGCGCAACACTTGCAGAATGTATGGTTTGTGCACTGGCAAACGTGCCTCCGCTGCGTGAGTGCGTGGTGGCGTTGGTTCTGTCGTCCCTCGCACACGTGCCTTATGCTCACGCTTACCACAAGCACCTTGATGCCTTTTTCGCGTCCACTCGACCAGGTCTTCAAGACAGCGCACGAGCTGGGCGGCATGCTGTCATTCTCCTTTCACGATGAGGCGCATATGACGGAGAAATCGGAGCTGTTCACAGACGACAGCAGACTTGCGCTCCTCGGTAGCTGGCGCGACCACTGGGACCTGGATAAGCCCCTTTTAGCACTCCAGTCCCCCCGTTTTGCCACCATGACGCGCTACCTCCAGGTCGTATCTGCGTGTGTGTATGTTTGTGTCTGTGTGTGCGTGTATGTATGTTTACGTGCCTGCCTGTCTGTATGTATCCGTGTGTGTGTCAGTGTGCCTTGTAATGCAATCGCATGTGCTCGTGCTTGCACTCTATTCACCTCCCCACCTTCCCTCCGTCTCCGTACCATCATCTTCCCACCCACCAACAAAACTGCACCGCGCTTCCCCCCCCCACACACAGGCGCTGTTTGGGGAGGATAACACCAAGTTTGTCGTGGTGCTGCAACATCCGTTGCATGCATGGCGGCCTGCCCTGAACATGTATTGGCAGCAGGCGGCGCTGTCGTGTGGCAAACCGTTTGTGCAGCAGTGGGTGCACATTCACCAGACACTTGAGGAGGACATGGCGCACCTCAAGCATGTGCACGTCGTGCGATACGAAGACCTCGTGCCAGCGTCACACGTGCCAACGCCAGATAACCAGCTGCACCAGTACAACCGCGAACCAGCGTTCAAATTCCGTGGCGCAGGCGCTGGCTGGAGACAGGGACAGGGACTCATGCAGGCACCGCGGTTCACATCACTAGCGCAGCAACAGCGGCAACAGCAGCAGGTTCTCAACAGCCTCTTCCACTTTCTTCGCGTCTCTCGGCCCGTTGCTCTCTGGACTTCGTTTCAAGACTCTGCCATCCTCAACCACAGGTAGGGTTGGACGTTATGTTGTGTGTGTGTGTGTCTGCCTGTGTGTGTGTGTGTGCGTCTGCCTGTGTGTGTGTGTGTGTGTGTGTGTCTGCCTGTGTGTGTGTGTGTGTGTGTGT